CTTTTAATACTTAGATGAAATAAAAAACTCAGTTGCCCTATTGGGACCAGGCAATAGTATAAGTAAGTAAAATGGGCCGTGTGTAAGAGACAATAGGGAATAGTGAAGTAAAGAGTGCATCTGGATCTCAACAGTACAACAGTTACTTAGTTCTATCTAATATTTGCCTTTGAGAATGTTTGTCTACATTTGCTAGGTCATCTGAAGCTAATAATTTTCTAAATCTTTATATATAAAGTATTTATATGTTAAATATCCAGATTTTTAAATGTTTTTACCTAGTTCAGTTTAGTAAATGCTATAGGCTAAGCAGAATACATTTGTAGGTGATACTGTTCTGGTGCACATGGGATAAGCTAAACGAGCCTACTCCATTCACTCCCCTAGATCATATGTCTTAGAAAAAGGATTTATCACTTTGGGAGGCCGAGGCGGTTGGATCACTTGAAGTCTAGAGTTCGAGACCAGCCTGGCCGACATGGTGAAACTCCATCTCTGCCAAAAACAAAAACAAAAAAAAAATTAGCCAGGCATGGTGACATGTGCCTGTAGTACCAGCTACTCAGGAGGCTGAGGCAGGAGAATTGCGTGAACCCAGGAGGCTGAAGTTGCAGTGAACCAAGATCATACCACTGCACTCTAGCCCAGGCGACAGAGCAAGACTCTGTCTCATAAAAAAAAAAAAAAAAAAAAAAAAAAAAGAAAAAAAGAAAAATAAAAACAAAAATGATTTTTTTCCCAATAGTTTCACTAGTTTGTGTTCAGTTTCTGTCATTTTTTTCACTGTCTCACAACAGATAGCTCTATTTCATTTTTCCTACTCAGATTTGATTGGCAGTATTAGTTAGGGTTTTCCAGAGAAACAGAACCAACAAGATATAGATATGGATAGATTGATTTCTTATAAAGAATTGGTTAACGTGATTGCGGGGGCTAAAAAAAAAAAATCCCACAATCTTCCATCTGCGAACAGGAGATCCTAGAAATCCACTATAGTTCCAGTCCAAGTTCAAAGGCCTGAGAACCAGAAGAATTGACAGTACAGGTTCTATCAGAGTCCACAGGCCTGAGACCTAGAGCACTGATTATTTAAATTCTATTCCAAGTCCAAAGGCTTGAGAACTAGGAGCCAAGGCTGTTCTAGGTCAAAGACAGGAGAAGACTGATGTCCCAGCTTAAGCAGTCAGACGGAAAGAAAAGTTTCCTTTCCTTTGCCTTTTTGTTTTATTCAGATCCTCAACAGATTGGACAATGCCTACCCACATTGGGGAAGGCAATCTGCTTTAGTCAGTTTACCTATTTAAATGCTAATCTCACCTAAAAACAACACACACTCAGGAATAGTGTTTAGCCAAATATCTGAGCACTCCGTGACCCAGTGACCTCAACACATAAAATTAATCATGACAGCCCTCCCTGTTGTCAAGTTGACCCCCAAATGCATCTCTTTAAACCATATTTAACTTTCAAATAAAGACAATAACAAGATCATAATTCTGCCTAACATGGTATCATTATCCTGCAAGTAACCAAAAACTCGCTAACCTCTTTTCCAAAAGAGGATGTAAAGTCCTTGAGTGACGTTTACTCTTCTCCTTTATAACCTGTAACTTAAATACTGTGATGTAAAATTAACCATACCTAGATACTATGTTATAAGGTCAATACATCTTATGTTATGTGATAAAGAAATGAGAGGCCAGGAACGGTGGCTTACACCTGTAATTCCAATACTTTGGGAGGCTGAGGTGGGCAGATCACTTGAGGTCAAGAGTTCAAGACCAGCCTGTCCAAAATGGTGAAACCTTGTATCTACTGAAAATACAAAATTTAGTTGGGCATGGTGGTGCACACCTGTAATCCCAGCCATTCAGGAGGCTGAGGCAGGAGAATCGCTTGGAGGCAGGAGAATCGCTTGAAGCCAGGAGACGGAGGTTGCTGTGAGCCAGGATTGCGCCATTGCACTCCAGCCTGGGTGAAAGAGCAAGACTCGGTCTCAAAAAAAAAAAAAAAAAAAGAAAGAAAGAAAGAAAAGAAAAAAAGAAATGAGAAGAAAAGAACCAAAGATAATCGCTGCACACACACACACACACATTCACGACAAAATAATGATGAAATACGACAATTATAGTCTTCATTTCTGTAACTGGTCACATGGCCATAGCTGTTATTTAAAACTACCTTCTCCACTACCCATTCTTTATTCTCTTTGCCATCAGCAAGCACCTCAGCTAGTTGGGATCTGTACCTGGTGGGGTATTATGAACTGAATGTTTTTATCCTCTGCAAAATTCATATGTTGAAATTCTAATGACCAATGTGAGGTATAAAGAGGTGTAGACCTTGGGAGATGATTAGGTCATGAGGGCTCTGCCATCTATGAACCAGGAAACAGGCCCTCACCAGACACTGAATCTACTGGTGCATTGATCTTAGACTTCTAAGCCTCCAACACTGTGGGAAATAAATGTTTGTTGTTAAAGTCACCCAGCCTGCAGTATTTTTGTTACAGTAGCCTGAATGGACTAAGACATGGGGTGACCCAAACCTTCATTCCTAAAGAATTTGGGCCACTAGTAGTCCAGCCTGAACTGGGTTGTTCGAATTTTCCGTTGACCTTAATCACAGAGCATGGTGATATTAAGAAGTACCCTAAGGGATCTCCTGTATTTAGTAGTCCAGTTTCCCTGTGGGAGGCAGAATCAAGCAACATAGCCAACACAGTAACTCCCTTCTTTGCCTGTTGATTCAGGAGCATAAGAAACCCAAAGTGGCTGGATGGCAGTCTTAACTTCTAGTTCAGTGAATCATTGTTGTGTGTCCTGGTGGAAGCATTCCTCCTTCTGGAACAGACCTCTAGTCCAGCAGAGCATGAGCAGAAACAAAAAATTTTCTAGTGGATGACTAGGGGTAATAGTGAGTAGTACCATTCCCATTTCCACCCCTTGATTCCTGGCCCCCAAAATCCTAGTTATAGGAGAAACAGCACCATATATTGGACACTGATTCAGAGCATATACAGCCTTCTGGAAAGCCTTGTCCCAGCCCTGCAAGGTATTGTCACCTAGCTGGCCTTGGAACTGAGTCTTAAAAATGTCATTTCACCATTTTATCAAACCAGCTGTGTCAGAATGATGGAGAACACAGCGAGACCGGTGAATTCCATGGGCATGAACATTGATCACAGATTGTCTCAGAATGAAAGTGTTCAGTCTCTTACACTTAAAAACCACAGAAACAAATTAAATCACTTCCAACTAGATTTAAGCAATAATACTAGCATAGTGCCTAAGAGTATACATCAGTGCTGTCCAATAGACATGTAATGCAAGTCAAAATTGTAAGCCACATATATAATTTTAAATTTTCTAGTAGCCACCTTAAAAACGATAAAAAGAAAGAGGTGAACTGATTTTAGTAATATTTCATTTACACTAATATATCAAATCATTATCATTTTAATATGTAATTGATGTAAGCAATCATTAGTTAGCTATGTTGCATTATTTCTATGATAAGTCTTCAAAATCTGGTGTCTTTTACATTTACAGTATGTGTCAATTTGCACTAGCCACATTTCAAGTGCTCAGTAGCCACTTAAACTCATCCATACCATTTAACCTCATCTGCCTCAGCAAACTGCTTAATTCATCTGCCTCATCTGTCAAAGGGGAATCATAATAATGCTACTCTGTCTGGTGGTTGCGAAGATTAAATGAGGCACATAGAAAACACTTAATATATGTTATTGTACTTGGGATCATTAGATAGATGGATGGATGGATAGATAGATAGATAGATAGATAGATAGATAGATAGATAGATAGATAGATATCTGTAAGGGTAAAATCATGCTGAATGCACTAGATAAACGACAAGCCATTTTTCATGAGTCAGTGCTTTCTGTGTGCTAATATATATTATTGTATGAGAATCTATCTAAGCAAGGTCTTTGTATGGTAGCTATTGAAAAAAATGTTTCAGATGTCTTTAAATAAAAGCAGAAAGTAACTGCTTATGATTTAAGACAGTCAGGAAAGAGATTATGTTCTTGTCAAGCTTGTTCTGTGTTACTGATTTTGCCTTCTATACTGTTTGAAGGAGAAATAATCGAGAATCCGTAAAGACAAAGATAGAAAAACCCTGAGACGTGTTCACTCTGAAGTGGTGTAACTGATTACCTTCTTTAACTTCTTCTAGCAAATCAAATTCATTCTTTACTCAAGCTATTTACTCTACCTAGAATATTCGTCCTCCCTTCTTTGTTTGGCTGGCTGGCCTCTTATTATTACTCAGATTTCATATTAAATGTCAGGCCTCAGTCTTCCCTGACCATCTGTGCTAGAATAGGTCTTCTCTTTTATTCTCCTCTTCAGCAGTATTATTGTTTCCTTTATGAGCTTAGGTCAGAATTTATAATAATTTAACTTTTAATTTAGCTGCTTTTGTCTCCCTGTTACAAGACTTTTTGCCTCATAAGGGCAGGGCCTAGATTTGTCTTCCTCACTAATGAAATCTTAGCCACCATCACAGTGCCTGGCACAGAGTAGGTACCAAATATTTCTTGAGAGGATGAATGAATGATAGGCCTGTTCTGTCCCCTCGTATATTGAAGGGTTTTCAAAGAAGGTAGTTGCAGAAATGATTTCTTAAACTAATATATCTACATCAAACAGGTATGAAAACTTCAGGGGTTTTATAAAATCTGGTAGACTGTCAGTTCCACATGGACAGCAACTGTGGATTTGAAACTCATTGCCTCCCAGCATTGTGCCTCTTATATTTTAGGCACGGATATATTTTTGTTGATTGACTGAATAAATTAATTCTGCTATGAAGTCACAGACTGCATAGCTATACAGGGAGGGATTTTACTCCAAGATAACATTTAGGATAAGTTAGAAAGAAACATAGTGATTACAGGTGATTTAAGACCCAGGTACTACAATAGCAATGCAATATGTGTGTATTTACTGTTATTTTTTTTTTTTTCCTAAAAGGGACCTGTTGGCTTACCTGGAGAAGTTGGGGCAACTGGAAGCATTGGCGAAAAGGTAATTTTTTAAATTATTTTGTTTTATAGGACGAATTCTAGGCTAAACTCAAAGGACAGACTTTCATATGATCTTTTATGTTAATTAGAAATCACTTATAACTTTAGCACATTACCTTTACTGAATCTCTTAAATATATTGAAATATAGCTAATAGCACATAGGTTTCTAATTTTTACAGGGCAGAGTACCCTTTTGATTATAAAGATGTGATCTGAAGAGAAAAGATAGAACAGTCTAGATTTCTGACTAGAAAATATTATCTAAATCGACTTCATGAGAGCAAGCCTCCTATGAGAGGCTTCAGAGAAAGCAGTTTTTGAAAAAGAAGAATAAGTTACCATTTTACCTTTCTCTCTCCCCATCTTGTGCTTGGTTCTTATTCCTATTCCCATCCTTACTATTTTCTTGAACTAAAATATCCTCTCTTCTTCCCTCTGTTTTTTCAAAACCAAACTGTTGGACTCAGCTGAATTCCCATCTCCTCTGTGAAGTCCACAGACTCCTGTCATCCTAATTTCTTCACTTCCTGGACTTAGAATAGTGCCACATAGTCTAAAATTTACTTACTCTCTGGTTGTTTCATCTCTGTTAATACCATGTCTGCAGTTACTGAGGGTAGAATCTAAGTTAAGTTTTTAAATATCTCTTCTAACTCTCATGTACTACATTCTCAATTACTTAAGTACTACATAATATATATTTATTGATTTTTTTACTAACAATGTAACAAAATATGAGTGCAGTTTAAAAAATTAGCGTTACAATTTTTTTTCACTCAGTTACTTCTGTGCTGAGTTAAATCTTCTATGCTAAAATTTTGATACTCTTGAGAATTTTTTTTTTAAATTTATTTATTATTATTATACTTTAAGTTGTAGGGTACATGTGCATAACGTGCAGGTTTGTTACATATGTATACTTGTGCCATGTTGCTGTGCTGCACCCATCAACTCGTCATTTACATCAGGTATAACTCCCAATGCAGTCCCTCCCCCCTCCCCCTCCCCATGATAGGCCCCGGTGTGTGATGTTCCCCTTCCTGAGTCCAAGTGATCTCATTGTTCAGTTCCCACCTATGAGTGAGAACATGCGGTGTTTGGTTTTCTGTTCTTGTGATAGTTTGCTAAGAATGATGGTTTCCAGCTGCATCCATGTCCCTACAAAGGACACAAACTCATCCTTTTTTATGGCTGCATAGTATTCCATGGTGTATATGTGCCACATTTTCTTAATCCACTCTGTCACTGATGGACATTTGGGTTGATTCCAAGTCTTTGCTATTGTGAATAGTGCTGCAATAAACATACGTGTGCATGTGTCTTTATAGCAGCATAATTTATAATCCTTTGGGTATATACCCAGTAATGGGATGGCTGGGTCATATGGTACATCTAGTTCTAGATCCTTGAGGAATCGCCATACTGTTTTCCATAATGTTTGAACTAGTTTACAATCCCACCAACAGTGTAAAAGTGTTCCTATTTCTCCACATCCTCTCCAGCACTTCAAACTATACTACAAGGCTACAGTAACCAAAACAGCATGGTACTGGTACCAAAACAGAGATATAGACCAATGGAACAGAACAGAGTCCTCAGAAATAATACCACACATCTACAGCCATTTGATCTTTGGCAAACCTGAGAGAAACAATAAATGGGGAAAGGATTCCCTATTTAATAAATGGTGCTGGGAAAATTGGCTAGCCATAAGTAGAAAGCTGAAACTGGATCCTTTCCTTACTCCTTATACGAAAATTAATTCAAGATGGATTAGAGACTTAAATGTTAGACCTAATACCATAAAAATCCTAGAGAATTTTAATGTGAATCAGTTTGGTCTTTTTAAGCTGCTATGACATGATCTTCCAGAATTATTTCTTATGGCACTTAATTGTGGTAGGCAGACTATAAAATAAAATTTTCTTAAATGGTTACACTTATTTGTTAAATTTTAATATGCTTTGATACTTTTACTATTCTCATATTTTGTATGTCTCATAAAATAGTAAGCATTTCTTACAAAAATTTAACATATGATACATGCTCACTTTTAGGTCTTGTTTATCCATAGTTTCTATTTTCTTCATTTTAATAAGGCCTTTAATATTTTTCTCCAAAAAACATCTTAAGATAATTTTATTAAAAGTCTAACCATTTTAAGATAAAAGTGCCAAATTTGTAAATTTAAAAATTATTGGAAATAAGAATGAGGTATGCATGTAAGACATGATTCTGGCTGACAGTTTTTCTTTCTAGGCTTAGCTCAGTCATGACTAATCTCTATGTTACTTTTTTTTCTTTGTTCTCTTAAAAGGGAGAACGTGGAAGTCCAGGCCCACTAGGTCCCCAGGGGGAAAAGGGCGTTATGGTAAGAGCTCAGTGATTGAAAAATATGTTTCCAAAGAACGTAATAAAAGTAAGGCATTCCAGAGATGGAATTGCCTGGGTTGGAATTTAACTGAGTAAAAAATGTTAAATTTCCCATAGAATTTTCTTTTTAAATGGTTTATCTCCCAGAATGCTATGTGATATTAAGGTACTTAAAAGCATGTAAATGAGATGGCTTAGTCAAATGATTCTAGTTTTAGGAGAGGAATTTAACCACCACAATTTGCTAAAATGGATGAAGAAGAAAATTCAATTAGAATTTTGCATACTCTGGTTTCTCTTCAGATTGTATACATCTTTCACCTTTTAAAATTAGAATTCTACTTATTCTTCTACAGCTTATAGTTGATATGATGCATATCATCATTGCCATTCTTCCATGAGTTTGTGGTCATGATGTAGTTTTTTTGGCATATGAGAGCTCTGAATCCAGAATTCATCTTATTCTCTTACATTTTTAATATAGGATATAGTTGACAAATTTGATATCTGAGTTGCATCTTTTTAACTTACTAAATAGTTTTCTAAGTATGGCAGGAACTAGAGTGAATGATTATTATCAATAAAAGGATCTTCCATACAGAAAATACCTTGTAATGGATCTGGTGGCACATAATACTGTCCACAAATTGATTTTAACTAACTTCTATATTATCAGAAAAGTCCTATAAGTTGTTGTTGTTTTAGCTATGCTATTTCCAGTTGCTGTCAGCTAGGAAATTTAGCATGCCTATAAGGCTAATCAACTTCAAGAATCATTACCTCCTAAGGCATTTTCTGAATCAGTGTTAATACCATAAAGTGTGTGGTCCTTCTAAAGTTTGAAATGCTAGAATATTTGTACACATTTACATTCCTTAATTAGAGAGCTCCTGGACCTCTCTGAAAAGGATATAGTTTCATAACCTATATAACATAACGTATATCCATGGATAAGATAACATGATCTTCAGTAAAATGAAATGAATGTTCTCTTATAAATAGGCTGTAGTATGTGATTCTGGCTAGCAATTTTCTTGTCTAGGCAAAAACCTTCTAATAAATGGAATATATAGTTCCTATGTAAATAAAACTACATAAAATACATTTTTTATTTCTATGGTCTGTCTGCAGAACATTTGCTGGGGCCTTTCATATCTTGGTCAAATTATCCCTTTTTATTATTGTTTATAATTTACTGGTTTGTCTTCAATGAAAATAATTTAAAGTAATAAGTATTTTACTTTTTAAATATTTTCCTTAAATTATAGGGATATCCAGGTCCTCCTGGGGTTCCAGGACCTATTGGTCCATTGGGATTACCTGTAAGTACAGGAAAGACTTTATGATTCCTTCTAGAGTGTGTATTTTAATTTAAACTCATCAATTGTTACGCTTTATTGTTGGTTTTTATTCAAAGTAAGTCATGTGTAAACTAGTGGAGACTGCTTCTCTCCCAACTATACAAAACACTCTTGAATTTGTCATGATATCTTGAACTTCCTTACCTCTACTTGGTATATAATCAATTTCAGTCCTACAACCTAAGCTAAAATGCTTTGAAGTTTCTTTTGAATAACCACATATAAGGAAACAGGATTAGTAAGATTAAAAGTGAGACCAATTGGATAAATAAATCATAAGTGTAAGTTCTAACATATTTTTCTTAGAAATTTGTAAATATTTTCACACAACCAGATAAAATTCATAAAAATATATTTATTAAACAAAAATTGGGGTATTGAAAATATTCCATTTGTTTACAAAAAGATGATGAAATGTTTCCCCTAAATTAATTTTGCTTATCAGAATCTTACAGCTATTGTGAACTTAAAATATGAAAAAGATCAGCCTGTAGGATCCCCTGAGCAGAACTTTTCTTATCAGTGAAAACTTATTATCTGTGAAGCTTCTGTTTTAAAAATAAGCCTGATTTTCTAGTATATTTGTATATATGTTGTTGGCTTTTAAATTTAGGAAGACTAGTCTCAAGAACAGTTACTGATCTCTTTAGTCATATAAAATAATAAATAAATTTGAAGTACTAAAGTTTACTTCATTTTTATCTACCTTAGGTTAACGGATAAATTTTGTTTTCCAGCTGAGTCTTGATTAAAGACTGTAGCTATAAAAATAATTCATTATAATTGACTTAATAATAAATAGCAACTTAATCTCCATTGCAGGCTATTTTTATAGCATATTAATTTGGAACATTTTGTGGCATTTTTATAACAAAAAACTATTTTTTATGTGATGGGATTTTCATAAATGTCTAGAATAATAGTAAAGAAATATTACCATGATAGCCATTGCTTTTTTGATGGGCCAGGCAGAATAGACTGGTCTGACTAGCTGAATGGATATCTCCTTTTTCCATCACTCCATATGTGTGCCTTCTGAAAACAACTTGGTCAGTGAATATTAAAGGCTTCTCCATTTTTTGTTCAGGGTGTAAACACCCAGATATTAAATTTGTCCAAAGAGTAGAATATTTCAAAAGTAGAATATTGGTAGAGGGCGGTATGATTAAAGCATATTTTTAAGGAAGACTAATCAATTTTAAGAATGTCCTGGGAGAATGATATATGTTATAAGAAAGATTATGGCTATTATTCTGATAGTATTCTTGTGAATTGTACAACTGATTTTTAAATTTACAACATATAGGGTCATGTGGGGGCAAGAGGACCACCTGGGAGTCAAGGTCCTAAAGGACAAAGAGTAAGTAATCTGTGGGAAAAAGTACATTAACCCTCCCCAAATTACTTCATAAATAGTGGAAAATGTGCAACAAAAATAGCATCATACCTTCTAGAATTCTGCTTAGATCTTGTCAGGTTTTTTTCTATTTTCATTATATTAGATGAATGCCCTACGTTAATTGAAATATGACTGTAATCATTTGTAGTTATAAAATCACACTTTTCTATTTTAATTTTTATGTATATCACTAACTCATATAGAATTCTTGTTTCTTATTCCCAACCTCCAATTCTATTCTTTGAGAGAATGGTAAATGTGAAGATCTTTAAATGAATCATTTCTCTACAGACTTACATAGCAAGGAAAAATGACATCATGACAAAATAAAGAGCAATAAGAAGTGGAACAAAGATACACAAGATGAATAAGAGCTTATTAATTGTAAATCAAAGTTATTATCATCATTGTCTAATAATTATGTATACAGAATTAAATAACACATCTTCATCTCTTTAAGTTGTATCTTAAACATTAAATCCTTTTTAAAGAAATAAGAGCCACTATTTACTGCATGCCTGTCACATGCCAGACACTTTTTCATATATTATCTCAATACTCAAAACCACCCAAAAGGGAGAGATATTATATCTTAGATATTATAGTTGAGGAAACCGGGGCTCTCAAAGTTTAAGTATATGGCCTCTATAGACACACATAGAAATGGCACAACCAGTATTCAAACCTTAGTGTGCCTGACTCCAAAGCCCATGCTATTCAATACCATATGGAATATCAGGGAATATTTTTAAAATAAATTTGGATATGTGGGCTTTAAGGATTCTGTGTTATGCCTTGACCTTACCTTGATTTAAATTTTAGAGCTGATGAAGAAAATATTTTAAAATTCTAAAAATATCCTCTACCTAACCATGATTAAAAAAAAAAAAAAAAAAACCTGCAGTTTTCCAGTTCCAGTTGGCAAATGGGAGGAGGCTGTTAATGAATTCCCAGTTTGAAGTAATGACTTTAAAGTCATGTCCTGTGTTTTCAGTGAAGCTTGAAGAAAGAGAGCAGATTTGCCTTTATTATTGTTTCTTTTCTGAAAAACTATTTTCCTTCCTGGGTTCCAGATTTATACTCTATAGTCACATCTCTAATATATTAGCCCAAATGAGATTTAAAATAAAATAAAAAATAATGATAGATGATTTGTACCCAAACTGCCATTTACTGGATAGTACCCTGCCAGCATTCAATAGTTAGGTCAAATGTGTTTATTCAACTTTGTATTAGTCATAATGGGAAAGTTCAACCAATTTGTGACAGATGAAAAAAAGAAGAAATACTTATTTGCTCCTTCTGTTAATTAAGTAATTTGAGTCCTTAGGCAGAAGCTGTGTATCTAAGCACAGTCTTTTCCTAAACCACTTTGTGCTGTCTCATTAAGTCATATGGGAAGTTCATTTGTTCTGCAGTTTTCTAACTTCACCATGATCCTATTACTGTTTCCTGATTTGAGACCTTGTCATCAATTCCTACCTCCCCAAGGATCTATTTTCTTCACATCCTTCAAATACATTTTACTCATTCTCTCCCTAAATGGTTCTTCATCATTTTTAAAATTTTTACCCAGGATCCAACAAGGAAGCTTTGTTTAGAAATAAGGGCTTGAGAGAGAGAGAGAGAGAGAGAGCTTTCTTTACTGAACGACTATTTTAGGTAAACAATGGACATTGGGTATACAAAAAAAGGACTGAAGACCAGAACATTTGAGAAAGAAAATAGTAGGGACATTCCCTTCTGGTAGCCACTGATATATTCCTGTTTTTACTCTCTTCTCTCTTCAATCCATTTCCCACTAGGGCTGTAATCCCAATACTCTAGACCCATTCTTCCCAATGTTTTTCACTCGCAAAAAAATGAGAATATTGGTCCAGCCTACTGAGATAAATGAAAAGGGTACCTAGCTGCAGATTCCTGTGTCTGGCCTTTCCTTGCCACCCCAAAGACTGAGGAGGGCACTATTTTCAGCACACCTGTAATCTCTTTGTGGCAAATATGTGTCATAGTATGTTGGAGGGAAGCTCTGCCTAAGTACATTTGCACAGAGACCACATGGAGACTTTTCATTATGGTACTGGTACTTATACTCTCTTGCTGTTCTGACTGTGATTTATGCTGTTAACATATTGCCCTATGACCATCATGAAGGGTAAGACTACTCCAAGGAGTCTGCTTCCTATCTGCTTCTCTCCTGCCCATCCATCCACCATACAGCTAGCTAACATTTACTGATTCCCTGCAATTTGTCAAACACTATTAATACCATGGAAGATTCTAGACTTAATTATCTCTTAGATCTAAATCACATAGATTTTACAGTCTAATGGCTTTTGAAGGATCAGGCAATATTGCAATTTTTCCAAAGAACAGGAAAAACCCAAACAAACACTAATGTCCTACCATCTCAAGAAACAGCCTAAGTAATCCTGCCTTTTATATAGCTGAAAAAGATAACAGGATTGACTAAAAATATCATTCTTACACAGGTTCTTAGATGAGAAACATGGCATAAACTTTAAAGTATTATTATTTATCCTACATACTCTAAGCTTTGTTTCTACCCTGCATGTTTAGCTGAAGAATAATTAAATAAAATGAAATAACTTAATATACCAAAGCTAACTAATATAATACACAAAATCACGTCCCTTATGTAGACAATATACGCTAGCAGATTCTCTAATTCAGTACCAGAAAGACAGTGGTTTAGCCTCTTGGGTCACTAGAAATCAGCACAACATCAGCTATAATTGAACTCTTCAGAGCTAGGCAGCTGATCCCCTGCTATTACTCCATTACACGCCCCTCTCTCCAGCTACCCAAACAGGAGAGATGACACAGAGCAAGTTCAGGAGAGATGACACAGAGCAAGTTAACCTCATCTTTTTTCTTGACCATGAATTGGCAAGGACCATGAGACACGTTTAAGTTTGCACTGTTTCTCTAGAGGGGCAGTGTAGAGGCATGCAACTGAGTATTTTTATTCAGACTATGCTGCTTAAGATTTAAATGGGAGGGAAAGATTAAAATAACTATATTAAAAATATGTAATGTTTTAAGATTTTCTATGGAGGAGGTAAAATTGATCTGCCTATAGAAATTCTGAAATTTGTCCCTTCAAGGAAATGCTTACCATATAGTGGTAAGCAGTCCTCAATTTTCAAATTTAGATTCAAAGCTAGATTCGATACTGAAGCACTCCAGATGATAAGCCGGACCTTCCTCTGTGGTTTCTTCCCCTGAAATAGTTTATAACAAGAATAGAATCAAAAGTTTTTTTTCCTTAAAATCACTGATAATGTTAGTTTTTGCTTAATAGAACATTTTGTTTCAGCTGTATAAATCATGAGCCAGAAAAGACTGCTAGGCCTAATTAGTTAGGCACGTGAGTGATGTTAACATTCATATGAAGTAGTGGTTCTGTAAATTGATCATTTGTGAATTTAGTTATTGCCTATAATTCAAGTAGCATTTATTTCACAAAACATGCTTAGTTCATGTAGCTGAGCTATCAAATTTTTATTTCTGCTATGAGAACTTACTAATACAGCTCAGTGCAGCCAACTTTAATTTTCCTAAGAATGTAAATACTAGATTTTCTCTTTAGCCAGCATAGTTACTCCAAGAGGATATCCATGAGATATTTTTAAATGATTATTTTAAAATATAACTATGCCAGATTTAGGTGCCTATTATAATGCTATTTGCCTAACTTTCTTACAGCCTGTCATAAAGCTTATTTTGTCTTAGAAGTCAAAGCAGACGTATATACTAACCCATGAGATAACTTCTATAACCAATACCAAAGTGAAATTTAAAGATGTTGATAAAGCTAAGCTTTCAGTTAATTAGCTTACTCTTGCTTTAAACAGAGAGAGTACCAAGCTCTCCTAGAGTTCTTCTGCCAGCCTTAAACTCTTATCTAGCAACTTTAGGCTTTATTACCTTTAATTAACATAACTGCATTACTTAGACCTTTGGGTTGTTTTTTAAACTAAATGTGGTTATCATCACTGTAGTCACACAGCTTCTCTTTCTTCATTCTCTGTGTTGTCTTGCCTTAGAAAATGAAATAATAAAGTGAAAGTATTTTTCTAAGTAAAGGGTTTTTTTAAAGAAACATTCTTTTATTTTTTATTGATACTATTTGTACATATTTATGGGGTGGGTGTGATGTTTTGTTACATGCATAGAATGAATCATAAACAAGTCAGGGCATTAGGTATGCATTACCTTTAGCATTTATCATTTCTATGTGTTGGGAACATTTCAAGTCCACTCTTCTTGTTATTTTGAAATATACAATAAATTATTGCTAACTACAGTCACCCTACTCTGTTATTGAACAAAAGAACTTATTTCTGCATTTCATTGCATGTTTGTATCCACTAACCTCCTTTTATCTCCCTCTTCTACCCATACACCCTTCCCAGCTTTGGTATCTATCATCCTACTCTCCACCTCCATGAAATGAATTTTTTTGGCTCCCACATATGAGTGTGTAGGGCAGCCAGAGATCACATCCAGCCCCCATTTTAGTCCTCAGTGGGTTCTTCAGCGGGATCTGGAAACCTGATTGACACCAGGCAGATTAACAAAGACAAGCTACAAATTATATTAGTTTTGTGTGTATATGGGGATCTTTACAAGAGAGTGAAGTCTGAAGTGCCCAAAACAAGATGCTTTTATACTTCTTAGACAAAGAGTGATAAATTTGAGAAAAAGTGACAGGACAAAGAAAATCTAGCTAGAGTGGTAAACATTTCTAGGGAAGTCACTAGGAGATATATTGGGAGCGGGGGTGTAAAACAGGTGGAAGATACGAGTTACTTCATTAAGTGTGTTTATTCAGGTCCATTGCAGCCTTCAATTCTAAGTCTCTGGTGATAAGGACTGTTTTCTCATGCTGGTATGGAGAAGGTAGCTCTCCCAGAGGGGTCTTGGTTGCTTGCTGC